TGATATTTTATATTTGCAAATTGTGTCATTCAGGTTTTTGCACCAACCTTATATAGTCATTAGCATGATATACAATGACAGACAGACACAGAAAGAGATAGAGGGTAAAAACGGAATGAAATATTGATATGTATATCTGTGTGTATGCATGTACTAGATTGATATAGAAAGCGTGCAGAGGGGGGAGGGCAAAGATCTGTGCGGCGTCGAGCAAAAGTTCAAGCGAGTGCTGGTGGGTGTGCACAGGCTGTCAAAGACACGAAGAGATATATTGAAAGATTAAAGGCGATTTATCAGAGCAGAAGAACTAACAACACCTTCGTCGGATTGAGAAAATAAAAATGTTAAAAACAATATCATTGTCAGCTGAAAATGATTGCTGCAAGACACCTGCGACTGTTTATTTAAGACAAACGATGGCACATGTAGACATATTTATTGGCTGAGTAAAGAGCTTCCAGAGAACATCACTAAGGGCACTGCGTTAGGTAAAACAAAAACATGTAATGCATTGAAATATATATATATATATATATATATATATATATGTGTGTGTGTGTGTGTGTGTGTGTGTGTGTGTGTGCGTGCGTGCGTGCGTGTTCGTGTGCGTGTGTATTAGCGATATTTTGGCTGCAAGAATTCATTTAAAACGTTTGGGTAAATTAAACTGATAAGGTCTGTCTGTAAATTTTTTATAGAATTCATTAAAAGTGAAACGGTACAAATAGTTGAAGAATAACAGTTCAGAAACATGAACTATTGTTAGTTTATACAAAGATTTTATTTGATTGTACAATATATATATATATATATATATATATATATATATATATATATGTGTGTGTGTGTGTGTGTGTGTGTGTAACAAATGTAATGAGAGAGAAAATAATATATAAATTCTAACATTCACAGCATTAATTGAAAAGAGAACTCAATAACTAGAGTAAAGCAATATTTATTTATTATAATTTTTTTTTATATAGAAAAAACAATTTTAGTCACTACAAAGATGCAACCTTGTTTCAGTGCATTTAGTTTCACCTCGACTGTTTAGAACCAAAATGGTTTATGGTTCACAAACCATTTTGGTTCTCACTAGTCGAGGTGCAAATAAATGCACTGAAACAAGGTTTCATCTTTTGTAGTCACTAAATTGTTTTTTTTGTGAAAATTATATATATATAAAATATATATATATATATATATATATATATATATATATATAAGAAAATTAAAAAATTAAATACTATGACGTCTGGTATTTAAAATATATAATGCATAAATTAATCCCAAATCTTAAAATAATATACATAATAATTATATTAAAAAACAACAGCGGCAATTACTATATATATATATATATATATATATATATATATATATATATATATACTATATGTCGAATTCGACGTATGAGGGTCAAGCAGATCAGTTCCTAAGAAACAACAGCCCGACAACAGCACATGAGATTTGATTATAGTGGTGAAGGTTTCGTGCAGGATCATCCACACATTTGGAAGGGCCGAATACAGAGACCTGGTGCACTACGTGCCACAGGGTTGCCAAACGACCCTCCGCAGGTTTTGTATTCAGAGTTGTCCTTCTCCTAGACCAGTTGCCATCCAAGGCTATAGAACCCAGTCTGTCCTGCTATTTACCCATAGCTGGAGGGAGAAGAAGAGGATTCACACCTTTCCCAAGGGTATTAGCACGTTAGAGAATGTAATGAATTCGACTGGAATTCGAACTCGGCTCACCGATTCCTCAATCCAAGCCGCATATATATATATATATATATATATATATATATATATATATATATATATATATATATATATATTGTTAAAGAGCAAGACAAACCTAAGCAGATCGTCAGAGAAGAGCCAGCCTACGCTGACGATCTGCTTAGGTGAAAAATTTGCTAGGTTTGTCTGGCTCTCTAGGTTTAACTAGGTCTGCTCTATTCACTGTACTGAGCACTTTATTTAGTTATTTTGCTTACTCGCATCGGGTTTTTTTTTCTTTGGGCCTTGAACTCGTAGGCTGGACGATTATTTTCGGTTAACGTACATGTTCTTGGTTCTTTCTTTTTTTTATACCTTTTTTTCCCTTTGGTATTGGCTTGTTTATTAGCAAATCAAGACACCGAAGGTTTTCCGGACGTGTATAGTTTCTTATACTTATAAGGTTTCTATTAATAATAATAATAATAACAATATATATATATATATATATATATATATATATAGAGAGAGAGAGAGAGAGAGAGAGACAGACAGACAGACAGACAGACAGACAGACTGAGATATTGAGATAGAAGTGATAATATATTAGATTCAGCATTTTAGCTGTTCCCTTTCCCAGTTGCATGATGTAGCAAATTGGCTCCGAGGTATTGGGGTCATTACAGAGGTCTGTTTATACAACCAACATTAGAGGGCTCTCCATAACTGAGTTGTGTTTGTGGGAAATTTAGTGAAGTCTACAACATATTTTCCGT